GTTGGAGGGTGGAGGGTGTGGCCGGCCGTTGTGGTTGGTCCATTTGGTGGTGTGATGCTAAGCCGACTGAAATTGAGTACATAAAGATGCTATTGAGTGTTTATGGTGTGGGGGGTTTGGGTGGTGGTTGTTGGGGCTCTGTTGTGTTCGCCCGTTTGAGGCAGGACACGTGTATTTTGCGTGCCGGCTGTTGGTCTGTGATGAACACCCCTTTGCCTACGCGTTTATGTAGTTTCACCGGTCCCCACCATTTCGGTGCGAAGCCGGCGTGAAACTTTTTGTGCGCGCTTGACAGGTGGTGTGCCTTGTAGTACACCGTGTCACCTGTTTTGTACTTTGTGTCCGTCGGGCCACCTGTTGCCGGTGGTGCGGTAAGTACATTGTTTTCGCGCCTAGCCCTGTCCATATTTATATGTTCGATCGGGTTTTCCGCTGTCCGCGACAGTATCCAGTCCCCCGGCCTTTTGCCCTCTCTCCCGAGGACGAGTACCGACGGTGGGTATCCTGTCCGGTCGTTGCGCCTGTTCCTGATCGAAAAAAGTATGGGGGCTAATTTGGTGTCCCAGGTGTTGTGGTTGCCATTGGCGAGTAGCGCGCGTAGACCTTTTTTTAATTCTTGGTTACGGCGTTCGACTGGGTTGGCCCTCGGGTGATATACCGGAGTTGTCCAGCCCTCGGCTCCCCACTGTTCGATCGCTTTACGCATATCGTTTGCTACGAACTGTGGGCCGTTGTCGCTTAAGCACACACGGGGGTATCCGAAACGTGAAAAGAATTCTCGTTCGAGCGTTTCGGTTATTGTTTTTGTAGTGGCTGTTCCGAGGGGGTATGCCTCGGTCCACCTACTAAACAAATCCGTGGCGACCAGTATATATTGTTTTCCCCTACTCGTGCGCGGGTAGGGGCCCATGAGGTCTATGCTTACCACCTCCCAGGGGTGTCGGGGTACTCTGGTGGTCGCGGGGCCGTCTGCGCGCGTGTTTAGTGGTTTGGTACACGCGCATATGTGACACGACTTGACGTACAGTCGGATGTCGTTTTTTTGTCCTTTCCAAAAAAAACGTTGTTTGACCGCCCTGTACGTTTCTTTCCAGCCCGGGTGGTTTGCGAGTACGTGATCGTGGTAAGTCCAGATCACGTTCTGCGTGTTGGTTTTTGGGATGACTACGGGTGTGTGTTCATCCAAATTTATCCGGAGAAGACCGTCGGTAAAAATGAATTGTTTGTTTTTTTCCGAGGTACCTCCGGTATTGCGCGCTGGGTCGTCCGTTGTCATGTTGTGCGTTATGTCTCGTGTGTTGGGGTCATTGGCCTGCCATGTCACGAGCATAGCGTGTGTGATTGTGGGGTGACTAGTGGTGTTAGCCGGGTTCGTCGTGGCGAACAGATTGTCGGCCGGTGTACTAGTAGTGGTGACGAGTGGTGAGGTGGGTACTCCTACTAGTCGTTCCTCGAGGTGTTCCTCGTCTACCGGGGGCCCGGTAGTCGGGTTGCGGGAGAGCATGTCCGGCGCTTCGTTCTGTACGCCGGGCACATGCGTGGTTTTGTAATCCAGGTTGGCCAGCTGTAGTGCCCACCTGGTTAATTTTGAGTTTGTGTTTTTGGCTCGGTGGAGCCACGTGAGTGCTGAGTTGTCTGTGTATAGGTCAAACCGGCGTGCCTCCAGGTATGGTCTAAACTTATCGGTTGCCCAGATTATCGCGAGGCACTCGCGTTCTACCGCGGCGTACCTTGTTTGCGTATCACTAAACTTTTTGCTTGCGTAGGCGATTATCCGCCTTTCGTCCGGGCTGTCACCCCGTTGGAAAAGGACGGCACCCGCTCCTATCTCGCTAGCATCGGTCTGTAGGCAAAACGGTTTTCCGTAATCCGGCGTCGATAGTTTAGGCGAATCGTACAGGGCGCGTTTTATTTTGGTAAATGCCGCCTGTTCGGTTTCGGTCCACGACCATTTGGTTCCCTGTTTGAGTCTATTTGTTAGGGGCGCTATGGTGTCCGCGTAGTTGTCGACAAACTGGCTGTACCAGTTGCAGACGCCCAGGAATTTCCGTAGGTCCCTCAGCTTTGTTGGTGGGGGGTAGTTAATGATGCCCTCTAGTTTCTCCGGTTGTTTGTCTATACCGTCGGAGGTGACTAGATGTCCAAGAAATGAGATTTCGGTCGCTCCGAATCTGCATTTCTCGGGGTTGCATGTCAGCCCGTGTCTCTGTAGACGTTCTAAAACTTTGTCTAAGTGGCACTGGTGTTCATCCGTAGTGTTCGAAAACACCACTATATCGTCTAGATATACGCGGACGAACTCGTCCAGGTACCCCCTCAAGACTTCGTCCATTAGTCGCACAAAGGTCATGGGGCTGTTTTTGAGGCCGAAGGGGAGGACTCGGAATTGGTATAGGCCCCGACGCGTCCGGAATGCCGTGTATTTTCGCGCGTCCTGTTTAAGTGGTACTTGCCAGTACCCTGACTTAAGGTCAAGGACGCTGAACACTTTTGCCCCTCTCATCTGACGTATCAGCGTGTTGAGGTCGGGCATTGGGTAAGCGTCGGACTCAGTGATGTCATTGAGCCGCCTATAATCAATTCCGAGTCCTCCCCTTCGGCCTCAAAAACAGCCTCAAAATTTTTTTTGCGCCGGTTTCGGCTGTGGGTGTGTCGCTGGTTCGTCAGGTGTGTACTCCAGGACTCCAGCGATCCGGCGGAGGTCTCCGAAAGTCGCTGGTCTTTGCAATCTTATGTGCGTGCGGTATTCGTTGCGCGTTAGTCCGGCTATCGTACCTACTAGCTGTGTTTCAGATAGTCCGGTATTGACGCGGCGGGCAAGTTGATTTTTTTGCGTTACGAACTCCGTTAGCGATTGCGTTGGTGTTTGTCGGACGGATACTATCTCTGCCCGCAGCCGTGACTGAATTTCCACGTTGTCGAATTTTTCTAAAAATTCGGCGCGGAACTCGTCCCAGGTGACGTCCAGTAGTCTGATGGTGTTCCACCAGGTACTGGCTGCACCCTTTAGCTGCTGTGTGATAATATTTGTCCAGGCCGACCTATCTATACGCGTTTGGTACATTATCGACTCCGCTTTATGAATAAATCTTGCCGGGTCCTCAGGTGTTGTCCCGTGGTACTCCGGCAGCGAATGTTTCGCTGCACATACGTCGTCGTATGGTATCAGCGTCGATTGTTGTGCCGCGTAGGTGTATGTGGAGGAGGGGGCATGGTGTATATTTGTTGTGTCGTCGAAACGTACTGAATGATCGGCGCGGTGGTTACCCGCGGACGGCGGTTCTCGTGCCGCGGGGTACCTCGCTCCGTATTCCGTGTTGTTCGATAACACTGTGTGGTGTGGGCGGATCGGTGGGGTTGCATCCGGTTGTTGTTCCGGTGCTTGGCGTGCCATACCCATCTCTAGGCGTCGCATTGTCTCTGCAATGCGACGTTGGTCTTCGCCAAAACGGGCCATACAGTTCTCGAGCATGGTCAGTCGTGATTCCAGACCGCAGCCATGCGCCGAGTTCTCCACCGCTTGCCGTACCTCCTTTATTATGGTACGACCCGTTTGGATCATACCCATAGTTTGTTGGTGTGGGGGTGTGGTCGATGGTTGGGGTGTTGTGTTGTTGGTGGTGATCTGGGGTGGGGCGTGTGATGTCTCGATCTGTATTTGCGCGGTTTGACTGGCGTCAGGTACCAGACCTGTGGCCGAGCTCTGTCCGGTGTGCCCAGTGGGTTCCATAGGCGGGAACCGGATTTCGTTGGCCTGCAGGTTCATGTCCGCGAAATGTTGTGTTAATCGGATTTCGAGATCACCCTTCGCGCCCGTATCCGATAAACCGCGCTGTCCGCATTCGTAGCGCAATTCCGCGGCGGTCAATTCATTAATATATTTTCCCGGCATGACTTCCGGTTGGTTTTCCGGTGTTGTTGACGAGAAATTATAAAATGTGGCTGTTGTCGTTGGAACGGGTATCGCGTTCCTTCGATCAGCTGTGTTGCCCGCTTATCGGTGTTTATTTGCGTACGGAATGTAGGTCAGTGGGTTGTTATTGTTACGCTTGCCGGGCGATCACAGTAACCGGTCTTCGCAGAGTGTTTTCGCGGATGCGCGTGTGTGCGTTATCCGGTGCACTACTGCGATTAGGGAAGGCGGCGGCTGTCGCTTTAAGCGGCGGCGGCGGCAGTCCGATTACGTGGTATTTTTGTCCCGGGTAATCGCGTGTTGACGTTGGCGGGTGGTGGTGTGACCCTCTCGCGCTCTTGCGTTCCTACCTAATGCCTACCTACGTCGTGTGTGTTTGGTGCATCGCGCGCGGTGCGGTCGGTGCGTCCGTGAGTCGGGCGGCGCGGCCGGTCGTTACGTCCTTTATGGTTATGTAATATATTACGTAACGCCGGTTTTTCCGTTACCGCCTGCAAACCACGTTTTTGCCGGATCGCGTTGGTGACTTTTTTCGAAAACGCGCAACGGGGGTTTATTTGGGGGTGGTAGTATGTGGTAAGAAAGTTTTCACTTACCGGTGATTCCTGTTCGGGGAGCCAGTTGACGCGGACTTGAATTGTGTCGCGTGGTGTGGTGATGAGGTGGTGGTGGCCGACGGTGAGTCGGGTCGAAAAACAAACAAACGGGATAGCAAAATAAATTACAAACAACGAACGGCGCACTGCTGTATTAATGGTTTTTATTCCAACAAGTGACAAGAGTCAAAACAAAAAGAACATTCAATTTTTATGATCCGATTTCTACGGTATCGAGTTTACACGAGAACGAGTGTCGACTTTCGGAGAACTATCCGGGTCGGTGTCGTGATGATGAGAGAGCGCGCCTTGGCAATCCGGTTCGCTGGACGGCCGGCCGACGGTTCCAGGCGCGCGTGGCGCGCGCCGGCGTCGTCCGTCGTCGGTTGGTGGTTTGATTGAGAAGCCGCGGCGTGGCTTCCGCGCAAAGGCTGTTTGAATTCAAACAGATTTTGCGCGGGACCGCGTCAAACCGAATACAGAATGACTTGATGACATCAATTAAAAATGTTATTTTACAAAATATAAAAAACAGCATACAAAATTCATTTATATCAATACTAGCTGATGAGACTACAGATGTTGGACATTTTGAACACTTGTCAATTGTTTTTCGATATTTTGATGATAAAAAAAATAGACCAGTAGAAAATTACATTACTTTGAAACAAATGAAATATGTTACAGCTCAGGCTATTTTTGACTGTCTTCATGATGTATTGATACAAATGGGAAAAGATTGGCACTCAGTTTTATCAGTATGCTTTGATGGTGCTTCTACAATGACTGGTAAAATAATAGGCGTGCAAACAAAATGTAAGGAACAAAATTCAAGTATTAAATATGTTCACTGTTATGCACACTGTCTAAACTTAGCACTTGTTGATTCGGTATGTGATAAATCGAAAAATTCCAAAAGAAACAAATTGGTATTCAATTTTTTTGGCACCATACAATTTACCTATAATTTTATTGAAAGTAGTGCAATGAGGCATGCAATTTTGGAGAAAATATCTAAAGATGTAGGAATCAAGTTACTTACATTAAAGTCTTGTTCTATTACTCGGTGGGCGTGTCGAGCAGAAGCAGTCAAATCAGTACCTAATAACTATGAAGTTTTGCTTTTAGCCATAGATGAAATTTGTGAAAGTAGTAGTGTTCCAGAAATGTGTGCGAAAGGGGACTAAATCAATTAAAAAGTTTTGACTTTATTTTTGGCCTTTATTTGCTGAATCCCATATTAAATTTAATATTAAAAACAAGTTCTTTATTACAGTCTCCAAACATGGATCTAGTATTAGCAATAAATAGTGTACAGTCTTTAGTACAAAACTTGATGGCTATGAGGAATAGTGACGAAGAGTTCAAAAATATTTATCAACAATCAGTAGAACTTTGTAATAAAAATAGTGTACAAGTACCAGAAGTAGTAAATAGAAAAGTGTCAACTCGTTTAGATAAAATGTCAAATTCTCAATTTTTTTTTAAAACAAAATATGATGAACTTAAAATATCTGTGTATAACCACTTGTTAGATGAACTCATTTCTGGCATCAACGCGAGATTTAATCAAGAAACTGTGCAATTAGTTCAAGCTGTAGAAAAAATGATTCGTCTAGACTCTACACCTGAAATTATTTCAATATTATCAAAATTTGCAAATGTCCCTGTAGATATATTGGTGTCTGAGATAAAAATATTAAAATATTTATCAACTACCGATGGTAAACCAGATTTTAAAACTAATAATGAATCTATCCATTCGTGGCTTAATTATATGAAAACAAATAATTACATACAATCATTTACTGGCTTTTTCACTGTACTGAAATTATTCAGTGTAATACCTGTAACAAGTTGTTCCTGTGAACGGGTATTTTCAAAGTTAACCATAATAAAAAAATAAATTAAGGAGTTCTATGCAACAATACCGACTTGATAGCTCATTATTGATGTTCACTGAACAGGAAATAACATCAAGTGTTAACAGAGACACTGTCATTGAACAATTCAAAAATAAAGAAAATAGAAGATTGAATTTATAATTTTTCTTAAATTATAACGATAGTGGAAAGGCCAAGTAATGTAACCCACAATTTTATCAAAATCGAGGTTTTAATTGATAATGATAAAACACATGTTTTTCACAACACAAACACGTTTTTTTCCAAGTAAGGTAAGCCTAAAATCATTTTTTCCGATGCAAAATTTAGGTTTTACTCATTTAAGATTAGTATAACCCACAATAGTAACAAATGGTTAAGTGATGTAAGCAACAACGTATACCTCAATAATTGTAAACAGATCCAGACAATTGATGTAAGCAATAACGTATCCCACAACAATTGCAAACAAACCCAGTCAATTGATGTAACCCTCGCCGCGCCATTATTGTTTTAGTTAACTATTTTACAATACATTGCAACCAATAATACCATTCTTCTAATATCTTTGAATAATACCCATTTGATGATAATAGTGATAACTGGTAATACTATTATTACGTACTATGAAATATTAAATTTCTTATTAAATCGAGAAATCATAGTTACAAAAACAATTAATATTTTAATAGACAGAATGTTAGGAGCGTTTTCTACAATATAGTATATTAGTTATAGTTGTATTATAGTATTATAGTTGCTTTTTCAAAATTATGTAAACAAAAAAAACAAAAAAAAACATGATTCTTTTTCTTTAAACTAGTTCTAATGTATCATGTCAATGATACATTAGGAGAAACAGATGAAGAAGATGAAGTAAAAGATGATTCATTAGAGTTCACAGAAATATAAACAGTTGTTTTATTACTTTTACTCATTAATTTTTTTTAAACAAATAAAAAGGATTTTTTATATTTTAAATGTTATACTTATATATTATTTCATTAATTTTTTTTAAATAAATAATAAGGAACTTTTATACTTTAAATGTTATACTTATATTTTATTTGACTGTTTCTTTATTTCATTAAGTTATTTTAAATAAATAAAAAGGAACTTTTATATTTTAAATGTTTTACTTGTATTTACAGTTTGTTTATTTCATTAAGTTTTTTTAAATAAATAAAAAGGAACTTTTATATTTTAAATGTTATACTTATATTTTATTTACTGTTTGTGACATAATTATATTAATCTGTTGCAAAATAATTAAAATATTACTATGTGTATTTAATTGCTTATGATCTCCCATGAATATAAGGCGTTAGTGCCTTAGATTTTATAAATAAATAATAATATTAACATTAATACATTTTATATTTTTATTAAATAATAATATTATATTGAGGGTTACATTCATTGAACATTTTTAGTTAAATTTAATCGGTGTGATGTATAAATAATGTATCCCCTAAAGCACGTAACATAACCCACCGTTTAAAATATCAATCCATGTAAAATACTGTAACCCTCAACTTCCTTCAATTTGAAGCACAGTAAGTAGTTTAAAAATAATTTATAAGTTTTAATAGTATAATTATTTATTAAAATACGTAATCAACAATAAACCAATTCAATTTTAACTTCATTGGATAATTTTTGACAAAACTATTAAGATTTAGTTTCTCCTGTAAAATTTCATTTTTGTGGCTTACATTACTTGGCCTTTCCACCATCGAATTAATATTAGCTTTTATGTAGTTATATTATGCATTATGTATAATATAATATGAATATACAGTTTTTATTTGTTATTTTGTTTTTGGGTAATGTGTTTTCTTTTTATACGAAACTGTATTTATATCGTTTTAATTTGAAAATTAAAAGTATATGTCTACAAATTAGCACATGTATGTTGTGTCCATATTTAACTTGTTTATATTATTACATATAAATATTACAATTTTTATATTACACAAAATTTACATTTTAAAATAAGAATGTATGTTAATGTGTAAAAAAAAATAATAGGGGCCCTGTCAAAGTGTTGGGGCACTAATTCTACCAGGCTCGACCGGAAATTGAAGTCTGCGCACGCCTATGAGTACACGAATTGGCAATTGCAATATATTATGACGTGTATGCGCGTATACAGTTCACGCGATAACAACCTATCACTAACGAGAAATAATTCTTAGAACTTACTACTTAGAAACTTTAGAATTTTATTCTTAGTTTATGGCCGGCCAGTCTCACCTGCAGTGTTGTTCCACGGCCTCTGATAACGTAGTTTTACAATACTATTTATAAATCATGTTACAATTATTATTATAAGACATACCTAATACAATATCGGACGGGCGTACTTGCATTGCATTAGTTGCATTTTAATAACAGTTATCAGTTATGTTATAAAATTATAAAATATAAACTTTAAAACTTATACTTACTTATTACATACCTAATATTACTTATGCCTGTATATTAACTAAACATATACAATAACATTCAACTATGATTGAGTTTGAGTAATAATTATTAATATCAATATAAGATAGGTTTGAAGTTTGAACACAAAATGTTTTACAAAAATTAAATGATTTTACTTATTAGTTATTATACCAATAATAAGAACTTATATAATAATTATGCGGTTACTATAATGCATATAATAATTAATTAGTAATATATATTATTATAATAAACCTACTCGGCACTCGCACACTATCAACTGATAATAATGATATTATTAAGTATTATAATTAATTATATAATAGTAGTATTAATAATTATTGTATTATAATTAAGTACCTAGGTATGTGTTATGATAATTTATAATTGAAATAAAAACTAGTTTGGGATTTTTTAATTAAGACCTATTTCATATATTTATGAATGTATAATATTTATATTGCCATATTGGTGTTACTACAATTGCAGTGTACCTATACGTGATAGCTGCAGTGTACGTAAAAGCATAGAGCACCTATAATAATAGGTTTACCTGCAGGCTGTTGTGTAGGTATATTATAAGTTATAACTTTAAGTACAAGTAGGTACCTACTAAAAGGCAGTAAAAGGCAATAGACATTAGTGGACTAAACTGAGTATGTCTTGGGACGATTAATATGTTTTCCATCAGGAAGTTCCGGTTAGGTATCATTTGGGCATTAATCAAACGGTTCCCGGGGAGGTTGTGATATATCCCATCAGGCGGTTCCAGCTAGGTACCAATTGGGTACTACATAGGCGGTACCCGGGAAGGTCTGTGCTATTAGGGTACCCTCCAATATTATATTATGCAATTCTTCCGGGTGTCTCAGGGAATGTCCAACCATTTTCCAACGTCTTCCTCTAATCGCATCTATGAGTGTACGTTTTTCTCCCACTGTTCTAAGTACTTCTTCATTAGTTTTCCGCTCTGTCCAACTTATCCTTTCCATACGCCTCCAGCACCACATTTCGAACGCTTCTAATTTTTTCTTTTCGGTATCATTTATTACCCAAGTTTCACATCCATATGTTGCAACACTCCATACATATGTTTTTATAAGTCTCTTCTTGATATTAAGATGTATCTTTTTTGAAGTGAGCAACTTATGTTTTTTACTAAAGGCAATTTTTGCTAATGCTATGCGTTCTTTAATCTCGTGGACATTCTTGCCATCAGATGTGATTTTACTCCCTAGGTCTTATTTTACACTTATTTTGATTTTAAGAGGAACATATAAATTTAAGGTAAATTAACTCACTTCTTTTGTCCAGATCATTGGCTTTTATGTGCCATACTTGATGTGCTCATTGTCAGTTGAAACCTTAACAGCTGAATAAGGGGAATATCTCTCAACAGTATGCTGTACTGAAGTATCGCTATTGATTTTTCTACTTATTGGAGTTAGTTCAAACAGATCTGGACTGTGTCTATTGTTGGAAATCGGTTCAACATATGGATTATAATCAATAGGTGTTGCTATAGGTCCAGATTTAAATGCATGCATATCTTGATAAATTTCATGATTCTAAAAGTGAATTGAATAAGCAAATAGCCAAGCAGAGATAACCATTTTAAGATTGTATGTAATACATAAATTCATTTAACATATTAAAATACAATGATGTACTATTAATAAATGGTAAATCAACAAAATTTGTTGTAAATTTAATGATGAAATCCTATAAGCTAATGCTATATAATATTATACAATAGTATAAGTAGTAAATGTGTGGTAGGTACGTACCGTATTCCACGTATCGTCCATATTGCACACGAGGTTGAATGTTAACTGAATGGCAACTATAGTTGC